TGTGTGTGTGTGTGTGTGTGTGTGTGTGTGTGTGGCAGAAGAGGATGGAATGGTAAGCAGGTACAAGAATAAAAACGACAGCATCTTCAGGGCACAATCGGTCACACTGTCTCTCGCTCTCTCTCTCTCTCTATCTCTATGTGCATCTCTAATCTCTCTCTTCACCATAACCACTGTTCCCCTATGACCAATCCCACTACTTATTCCTGTCATTCCTCACAGCTCATTCCACCTCTCACTCCGTCTCTCACTCCATCTCTCCATCTATGTTTGTCTCATTTTCATTCATCCCTGCAGCTTTAATCCTCCCACAGCATGAATCATCCAACTCTTCATTGTGTTTCAGCCTCTGTCTTCTCCTTTTCCTTCCCTCCTTACTTTAACACACCGGTCTTATTCCATTTGCTTTTGTTCCTCTTTTCCTAATTTCTTCTTCAAGCTCATAAATAGGTCTAATCTGATCATAGCAGTGAATTGCCCCAGATATCACTCTGATCCACGCTCATACATGACATCAACTTTGCAGCAAAGATCACATGGTTTTGTTTACAGCACGTCCGCCCTTATCACCAAAAGCTCTTGCGTTTAAATTGTCTGTCCAGGTTGACATTTTTGTTGGTGTCTTCTGTGTATGACACCTTTTTCATCCTGGCATATTTGTACTGTTTGTGTGCCCACTTGCTTGGGGTGAATCCTCCAGGCAATATCCTGCTTCTCACACTGGGTCACTCAGACATTTTTCCAGAGTTTTTGCTGTAGGAGCCTGACAGGAAAAACTCTGGAGAATGTCCGCAGCAACTGACTGAGACATTTGTGTTCTCACATACAGCCCCTTCAGATAATTTCAGGAGATCCTCTGGAGTTTAGTGCATGTCTGAAAGCAGCTTCTTATATTCTCAGAGGCTCACACTTGCTCAGAGTGTGCAAAGCCTCGTAGTCAGTGTTTTAACATTTTGAAGTGGTCATGCTGTATGTTTAACCGACAAGCTTAATGCAAGCAAGTCTTTTCTGCACGTACGTCAGATATGTCCCTTTATAGCATGCGTTGACATATCTGTGATGGATTTTTTGCGATTAACTATTTCTGAAATTTATCGTCATGTGTTATTTTGTTTGTCTCACTCTGTCTTTCTCTTTCTCAGCCAACCACCGACGAGCTGGTAATGCAGTGACCAACATCCTAGCCAAAGAGCTGATGCAAGAGGAAACGCCTTCGCATAGTAAAGTGCCGGCTAAGAGGAACAAGATCGAGGAGAAAGAGGAGCCTAAACTAGAAGGAGCTGAGTCGTTAGAGGAGTTACTGGAGGCTGCTCCCACTCGGTCTAATTAGACAACGCATGCAGAAAGTTTTAATCACTGAGCGGGTGATATACAAACAAAGATATATTTCTGAGGCATTCCAGGGGCAAATATCAATCTGAGATTATCATACTGAAAAAAAGGCTTGTGTTTTTCTGACCTTTGTCTTAACAGGAGCATCTTTATCGGTAGCGCTGTCTGTGTCTTCTGTGAGGACGGAGAGAGGCAGAGGATGAGGGCGGGGCTCTCACCTCAGATCTTGGATGTCCCTCATTAACCTTTGGATCATTGTCGTTATAATATTAATTTGCTTTCTCCAGCATGTGCACATATCTGTTTCTGTGTTTTTTCTGTTTCTCTTTCTCCGTATTTCTGCATTTTTCACTTCACCTGTCGTTCATCAAAGGGCTTGAGAAATTCCAAAGACTTAACTCAGGAGGGATCCACCCATTGTGTTGTGGTTATTTCCAAATTAAAATTGGGAACGTCTGGAATTTGGCAACATGCTGCAGGTGTTTCATAGTTTTTTCTGGGTGTTTCAGCCACAAATTGTTTGTACTTTTTTTTACATCTGTCTAATATACTGTATGTTCCTGTTTGTAAATGTTAATCATTTTTGCTGTATTGTTGAAGAAAAAGTGCCAACTAATATAGAAATCCAGTCAGTCAGTTTCCTTCCTGGTTTTGTCCAGTCACAGTTTGCACTGTGGTGGTGTGTGGACCAGTCAGACAGTAGTCGTCACCTGGGTGCATTTTCTTTTGTTTTACTTCACTTGTTTGCATGTGTGAGTTAAGATACTGAGGATAATTTACAGGTCTAAGATGTGTTACACAACGGTAAAGAAAACCTTTCATCCATGAACATTAATGTTCTCATAAACCTACAGAGGGAAGTAAAGTTAGAGGAGAAAGTTCTCTCACAGTCACTTAAACCAAAAAAAACTTTAAAAAGGGTGTTTCCATACAAAACCTAGTCTGAGCAGTTTACATGCCTGTGTGTGTGTGTGTGTGTGTGTGTGTGTGTGTGTGTGTGTGTGTGTGTGTGTGTGTGTCAGTGTCAGAAGTAAGCCTCCTATATTTAGCCTTGTGTGTACAATCGACTCCCTACAAGTGTCTGTGTTTGTGCATGTACGTTTGAGTGCGCGTGTGCGTTGCCATCTGTAATTACTGTACGGTGCCGACCATGCTGTCATAAATGTTAGGTTTCACAAACAGCTTTGTGGTCGTTCTGCTGAGGATATAGCACACTGGAAAACTGCCCAAAAACTGCTGAGACAAGTATGTGTTCAGTTGTGTGTGTGTGTGCGTGTGTGTCCACCCTCTTCCCCTCCCACTGAACTGCAGCAGTACTTGCTGAATGTCTGGCCTTGCTTCCATTGCTAATCAGCAGGCGGCAGCAGACATGTTGCCATGATGTTGTGGTGTAATATCTGACAGGAATCCTGAGAGGTGATGTCAGCTGCTCCATGCAATATTTATTCCTATGCAAACACAATAGTGTAGCGTGCACTCTCTCGCCCAGCCAACCTCAGGACGTTAAAACCACCGGACTTCAGTGGTCTTTATCAACCCACTGACTCGAGATCAGTGCGTCACGTTGCTGAGGAAACGCTCGATAGCTGCAGACGATTTTTTGCAATTTAAAAAAATCGTAACACCACAAGCGACTACATGACATTTCCATATATATTTGAATGTCTGGAGGAACTGGCACTTAGCATATGAAATAAATGAGCTTCTATGAGAATAACAGGTGTAGAAATCTTGGATCTTGTGCTGGTCCTTCAGTCTAATACAGTAACACTGAGTATAATTTACCAGCTGGTTAAGGAGAGAAAATGAAAAGGATATCAGAACATCACTGGAATTTTTTTTTGCTTTTATAAAATTTGAGTAATTCCTTTTGCTCCTAAATTCTTTTTTTAAGACAATGTTTTCTATGTGAATTTTTACAGTTGATTGTTTTAATGTATTTGATTTTTTTTCTCAGAGATTTCTCTATGTACACAGAATAATGCACATAGTCGTTCTGTTTGCTACACAAAACTTATTAAAAACATCTCAAGTAATTGAATGATTTGCTCGTTTTTTTAGTTGTGTCACATTGATTGTAACACGTGGACGTTGCTGGTGTGTTAGTGAGAAGACACGGCGGCTCCGTTGTTTTCTTGTGTTTACTGAATTTCTCTCTTTTCTTCCCTCTCTCTCGTGTAAACACATTGTGCTGTGAAATACCAGACAGCCGCTGCGTTCTGTGAAACCATAATTTTATTGCCAAAAGTCAGCAGAAGAATGAATAAACAGAGGAATTAGTTATTTTTACAGACAAATTCCAGCCTCTTCTATGGCTCAAGGGTTTCCTCAGACATTTTCCAGCATTGATTGCCTGTTAACATGATCCCTCACCAGGACATTTACACAGTGTGTGTGTCTGTGTGTTTGAGAGATGGAGAACAGTTGATACATTTATTCTGTTTTTCATCATGTGTCCCTTATTTTCTCATTTTCTGTTCACACCCTCATGTTGCTGTTCTTCCTCTTCTGACCACCTCCTCTCTCAAATGTCTGGTAACATACAAACATATATACTCCAGTAACACTAACAGAATAATTTGGACTGTTTCTATTTGCTTTGTGTTTTTGTAAAAAAAAAAAAAACTTTCTTAGTAATCATTGTATCCTCAAAGTTTAGATGTTGTAAGAGAACAACAACATTCACACTGTTTAAACTCTTGTCTTTTTATTTTTTGCATGTATTTTTACTCCTTGTACTGATCTCAAGGAGACGTTACTCACCAAATATTTATGCAGCTCACTGGAGCCACCAATTGTGTCGATTGCTTAACGGACCTCTGAAAATAGCAGTAAGTAACCAGTTAATCATTCAAACTAATGTATATAAGTCACATACTGGAATAGTAGTTCATTTTATGAAAAACATTGACAATAAAATCTTTACTGCAGATAAACCAGATAGGATGAACTTAAAGTTTTCTATCTTTATTCTGCAGCAAAGACACACAAACAATAAAAAGTGACAGTTGACTGTTTGAGGAGGAATAATTCTGAAGTAGCTCTTGAGCATTAGCAGGCACTGCTCTTTGTTCCCCATGACCATTAAACAGACGTTAATATGTGAAATATGTGGATTTCCCCTTTTTCCAGCTCACACAGAGGAAGCTCACTTGTATCTGACCGTCAGTAAAGTCACCAGCTCGGATCCCTCATCCCTTCCTCCTCGAACCACAGCTGAGACTCAGAAAACTTTCCAGACTTAAAACATGAATAATCATGACTTGCACTGATCCCAGTTTCCTCCCAGCAGTGGTCAGTCCAGTCACACCCGCCTCTTCTGTCTGGAAATACATCTCAGAAAAGCCCTGCTGGCTCACGCCACCTACCACAGATGCAAACCTGGCACAAAAGCTGGAAGTTTTCTTGGACTCAGCTTTCTTCATTGAGGTGAATTCACAGTTTGTGTCAGGGTGTTGTCAAAGGCGACAGTATGTTCAGACTTTATTCTTTATGGTGACGTTGCACTTGATTTAATATCCATATCTGGGTCGGTGACAGAACCTGTGAGTGTATTCACAGTCACGTTTATTGACGAATATATTCGAGTAAAAAAGGGACGACATTTATTAAAGTTTTGTTCGTTTGTTTCCAGCCGAGCAGGAGCCACCGGACTCGACTCATATCATCAACTTCCTTTCATTCTATTTTTCTTCCAGTTAAATCAAGCTACATAACGTTAGCACGCACACCAGCACAAGACAAAAGTAAGAGACACAGCACTGCGGCGTGTTGAAAGACTTGGACATGACACATCACAACATAACAACCGATTTGCTTCTGCTTTTTATTTAAATTAGAAAGAAAAAACTCTTGTCCTTTATCATTCTGCAGGACAGTTTCACCTGAAAACTAAATTCATATTCAACCCCCTTGTTTATGTGTGTTAATGGCTATGGATGATAAACATCCGTCAAAAAAAGCCAGACTCCAAGTGTCGGGTTTTATTGGACAATGAAACTTGACAGGAAACTGCAGTGAAAGCTACGTTTATGGATAATGTACCTTAGTATTAGCTCTGCTGGGCAGTTTTATTCCAAAAGCTTCAAGCACACCATGTTCTCGTCTGTATTCTATTGTCTATGAATACAAGGTTTTTGCAGGATTCTGAAAACTTTTCAAACATTTAAACACACAGTGCTTTTCTCTCATTTTAAACAAAGCCCCTTCTACTGTTTTCTCATCTGATTCAGCACTCCAGAAAATAATGCGTTCTGTTTTTGGAAGTCGAATAAGGAGCCCGTTTCCCAGCAGCTCTCCTGTGCACTGTGAACGAAGGCCTCGGCTCAGCAGTGAATCTGAGCTTTCACCTCATTAACTTCCCGTGTTAATTTAACCGGAAACCGCTGACTTCCTTTCATCATTTATGATCCTTCTGTGGGAAAACACACACACATGTAGGCCATGGGGCTGCGATCAGTCTGGCTTGACACTAAAGAAAATGGTCAATCAAAAAGTGCTTTATTTCTTTTTACGTGTTTGTGTCTTTGTCGCTCTTCCTGTCTGTTTGAAAACAGCATCTGATCCTAATCAAAGACTACAATAACGTGTGTGTGTCCCCATATGCTCTCTACAAAAGCATTGCTGAAGTCATTTGTGTAGCAGACCTGCAGGAGTTAGTTGTGGAGCGGAGAACGTTTGCCTTCTGACAAAATGTAATAATCTAATTTGGGCTATGTTATTTAAGGTTATATTATTATGCTAACATACAGAGGTGTGATGTTCAGGGAGTGCTCCAGTGACCCAGCTGGGAGCAGAGAGTGAGATTTGCAAGTAAAAGAAGTGAGTGTGTTTGAGAATGAATGAAACAAGGAACATAGAGAAGAGCAGATGAAAGGGGGGGAGCTGAGGGACTGAAACAGTGAGGGCAGATGGGAGGAGATGTCGGCCATGATGAAGCGATTAGGTGAAGAACAAAAGCTGAAGCCTGTGGATAAAAAAGTAAAGAACTTTGTTCACACCGACATTACAGCAGGAGCTGCTGAGAACAGATGACCTGCGTGTGTGTGTTCTCTGTGTGTTCTCTGTGTGTGTTCAGTGTGTGTGTCCTGTTGTGTTTGCCTCCTTTGTTTGGCTCATTTGCATCCTTGAGTAAATGTAGCCTATAGGTGTGTTCTCATGTGGGCGTGACCTTAAACTTACACTCCTGAGACACAGGTTGGCTGCGTGTAAACATCCTGTTCATGTGGCCAACAGGGAGCTGGAAGAAGTCACAGAACAAACTCGTTTATACTGAGTTCATGTCATTACATTACGTATCATTACAGTTCATTCAGCTGAGGCTTTATCCAGAGCATCTTCTAATAAGTGCATTCAACCATAAACAGCAAGAATCATGTACATTAGATTCCAAAAACTACGAAGTGCTGCATGTGAGTGCCACATTGATTTTTGATGTCATGTTATTTGATGGTGAGATTCATTTATCGTGACAAAAGATTAAATAAGTATTTGCTTTTAAAAATACTTTAAGTATTGAAGGTAAAAGTACATGCAGAGTGTAGCATATTCACTAGTAGGCTTTGCTGCATCCGAGTCTGTGGAGGCGTCCTCTGAATCACCAGTGATGATGCTGCTGCAGGAGGCGGGTCCTGATGTTACCCACTGGCTCTGATTGGCTCAGTGAACAAATTCCTCTCTCGTTATTTATTACTTTATCACACTACTTATACTTTATTACAGTTAAATGCGAAATGTACTTTCAGTTCAGTAATGAAGTAAATGTACTTTGTTACATCCCACCACTGGTCTATTAAAGGTCCTGCCCACCCACACAGATCCTCAGTTTACTCACACATGTTGCTTCTGTCAATAGGTCATTTGTCATATGAGTTATAAAAATCATCTTGTAGTTTAGAATTATCGAGCTCATGTCAACTACAACATGTTGCACAACTCTCATCCAGCACATTAAGCTTCTTTTCAGTGTTTCCAGCCATTATCAGTGAGGTAACTACACTTTTCTGCTTTATTCAGCTGTCACACATCACATTTGAGAAGTTTGAATAAAGCCTGGTGGAGAACACTGTACCATCTGTTTTAACTTTGTCGGACTTGGCTGTTTCTGTTCTCACAGTTATAAATCGCTCTGGTTCAGATGAGCAATAAATGGAAATGTGTTGCTGCCCCACAATGAGGTCGACTCATGCGGTTTTTAGTGAAATGTTCTGATGGATCTGAAATTAGAAATATGAGCAAGATATTTCATATTCCAATCAGGATTCATCTTTATCCAGACATCATCTGGTCATCGTATTCATTTTGTCAATACTTTAACTTCTGATAACACAAAACAAATGATGTTTCATGTCAGACAGACCTGTGCTTCTTATTCAATGCTATTCAGCAAACATTAGCATGTTTCAATAGCATTTAGTATTTATTTATAATTGATTCTTAACACTGGATTATTATTTTATGTGTTTAAATATTGAAACATTAACACTCACTGTTGGTGTGAAACATGATGCAGACAGCAGCTGTTGAAGGCCGACTGTTTCCTCGTCCACAGGCTCATTTTTCCTTTTCGCCGTATTAAATAATCATTCTTCTTCCTCAGTGTTGCAGCTGCACCAAAGCTGCTATAAATAAAATGTGTATTGGAGACGATTAGAAGAATTATCTTTGATTATGGCTAGAGTTTAAAAAAAAAGCTAGTATATTTAGGTGTATTTATTTTGATATGAATGTGGGTTTGTAGTTGCAGTAATAGCATGGATTGCAGACGGATCCAAAGTGATGTCTCATTACTATGAGTTTCAGGTTTTCTTGATTCCCAGACTCCTTCAGACTCTTGTTGTGACATTCTAGGGAGTCGGGGGAGATTTGTATGCGTGCGTGCGTCTGTGTGTGTGTGTGTGTGTGTGTGTGTGTGTGTGTGTGTGTGTGTGTGTNTGTGTGTGTGTGTGTGTGTGCCCCTATATGCGTGAAGGGGGTCTGCTGGAGAAAAGAGATCTGAACAAAGAGAGGGGGCAGTATAATTGGCTTCA